TCCTGAAAAGTTATCCCTCAATTCTGATTGGTTGATTGGAATGTTGTTCCAGGGTCAACAAGGATGTTGATCCAGGAACATGTTGTACTTGGTGAAATCACAGTCACCATATATATATATATATATGCACGATTTATCGTGCAGCCCTACTCTCTATTCTATCTCTTTTTAATTATTATTAATATAATAATAACTTGTACGTTAGACTAATCAGGACTTGTCACAGCACTTATAAATGATTGCTCTTTTGTTGGTTTGATTGCATCTATTGTGTAGGACAGTGTGTCAACAGTTACTCAAAAACAAATTCTGATCCAGACACCTTTAAAAAACCTTGTGTTTTGTGTCATTTATCCATACTATCCTCTGTGTTTATTGTATCATAACAAAGCTTTCCACCTCCCTGTAGACGTGAGGCTCTCGCAGTAAATCGCTGCATGATTGCGTGGTCATTAACTGTTAGATCAGCACGGTTGAGAGGAAGAGACGTCCACACGGAGACCGCAAGTCCAGCGAGATGAGCCTTCATCTCAAACAGACCTTTGAAGCTGCGGTGCTCACCGAGTTCTACCCACGATCACAAATCGACATCTACGTTAAGCTGTCTATCTATCCATACATCTATTCATCCATCCATCATCTGTCTGTCTAATCTAGAAGTGCTAATTGTGTGTGTCCAACTTTACTAACCTTTAGTAACTGGATATTATATATTAATATTTTATTCCACTATCACTGACATAGATTTTTACCAACATCAGTCCTAATCATAACTACCAAAAATTCATTCATTTTCAGAATTGTAATCCTTTAAATGCCAGTTTGTTTACATAATGCCACTTTTGTTTTTTTTATGAAAAACACAATACATCAATTATTTTTCAATGCTAAGCAGAATTTTTGGGAGTTATTAAGGTCTTGGATATGTCAGTGATTAGCAACAACATTAATTTTGATGCATTATCATTTCTTGTGCACTTTTCCTTAATGTCCAGAGTGTAACTATTTTTTGCACTTTTAGTGTAAAATAGATTCTTAAAGAAAATGAGGGTTAAATATTACCAAATGTATGCTGTTTGCATTAACAAAATGTACTAAAAAATGTTACCAAAATGATCAAAAACAAAAATATATCTAAGGACACACAAAGCACACAAAAGTTTTTTCCTACAAGAACCGGCCCACTGTGGTCTCCACAATTTATCCATAGAGTCTTTATTGATTTATAATACCTTACTTCACCGCTCATTAACTACAGGAGCACTGCCCACAAAAATGCAAAGTGGTTTATGTATATCCCAGAGTTTATCTTCCAAATTAGTTTTTTTGATAAATTTTTTAGTTTAAAAGATGAATGCGATTGACAAATCAAATAGAACTTGTAAAGACATTTCTTAACAGATGCTCTCTTTCCAGAGCTACTCAAAATACAGTGTACAGATCACATCACGTTATCCCTGTCTCTCGTCCTGTGCTGTAGATTCTGCAGGCAGACGGTGGGAACTACAGTGCTTGTGTGAATGCTGCTACTCTGGCTCTGGTGGACGCTGGTATTCCCATGCGTGACTATGTGTGCGCCTGTACTGCCGGCTTTGTGGAGGACACGCCGCTGGCCGATCTGTGCCACGCTGAGGAGAGCGGAGGAGGAACGTCTCTGGCGCTGACCCTGCTGCCCACAGCAGAAACATCGCCCTACTGCAGATGGACGCCCGGCTCCACCAGGACCACTTGGACGCTGTAATATAGGCAGCCATGACGGCGTGTAAAGGTCTCAGTAAAGTCCTGGATGGCGTTGTGCGTCAGCATCTCAAAGAGGTTTTCGTTCTGACCAGAGATTGAGAAGGAGAGCGGCTTTGATGGGAAAATTAACTCACTGAAACAGACTGTGCTCCCATTGTAGAACTGAAGCCTACATTTAGCTGAAAGATTTGAGCAACAACAAAATCACGCCATATAGAATATCTACAGAAAATCTGCGTTTTGTAATAATAAAGATCTCCAGTTTTATTAAAAAGGTTTTGGTATGCTTCTAAACAGCTGACAACAGTTTTTCCTTTTGTGTACCTCTGTACACTAATAAAATATAAACATTTATTCCACATCTATTGTGTACTGCCAGTAGTTTATGTGCAAGTCTGTTTGTAAAAATTACAAATTGTCTGTTTGTGAATAAACATATCCTAAGGTTCGAGAGGAAGTTTCAGGGGATTTTTGAGTTTATGAAAAGCTATTAAAAAAACACTAGCTTCTCTAATCTTTTTGTATTCTATCTATTTGTTTTCTTTTTATTTATTATAAAATTAACTAAAGAAAAAAATTCTGATGTTCCGTCAGCGCCACCTGCTGTCAGACAGTGGATTTACGCTTTTATTCAGCCTGACTGCTGTTTTTGTTCAGACCAATGAGAAAACAGGACCAAAATTTAGTTTAGTAAATCTTAACTGGTAGATGGAAAATAAACTATAGTGCACTCTAAAAATCTCAACACTTCAATAATAAAGTAGCCTATGTAGAATTGTTTATGGAGCAGATAAAATGCCTGTAATGTATCATTTTGGCTCATCCTTTTCTTCAAAAAACTGAAATGTGACGTTTGTTATTTTGTAAAACTTTTTTTTGTCAAAACTTTATTTGAACATGTAGTATATTAATAGATATCATGATATGTTGTAAGTCACCAAACCAACATTTTATATTGGTTTAAAATCCATTGGTTTTCAACATAATTTCAGTGTGTGTCTGAGTACGTCTTGAACTGATTGTGATAATATTGATAACTGTGATCCTTTTGGTCACTATAATCGTGATATGAAACTTTCATACAATTTTATCTCTAAGAACGATAGCTATGTAAAATAATTCTGATAAAAAAATTAATGTTTTGAAGTAAACATGCAAATGTTTTCTTGAAATCTCAGGGTACTTCGGCTGACAAAAAAAGTCTGAAAATCCCTGTCCTAAGTGATTATTTAAAAAGTTCATGTGTCATCATAGGTAACTATGAATTCAATTAGGTGCATGTTTGCTCAAATATATAAGCAAAAACCAATGCAAACAATAGCAATCCAGATTTGTTTAGTGCATCAATGAAAAGCTAATATAAAGCATGATATTAACCATATTGGACAAACAAGTTCATGCATATGACAATAAGGTGCTAATCTGTAATTATCCTATTTAACCACACTTGGATACAAGTCCTTGAATACTTGCAGATATACTTCCTGAACATTTCAGAAATCATAATTCTAAAATCTTCACTATCCAGATAAACCAAGTTAGCCATGTTCAAGGAATGATAAAATAATTCGCACCCCAACACTACCACAAGAGCCACTAATGAGTAACAAGCTAGTGATGAATAGGATATTACAATTCTGAAATTATTATTAGTGCTATTAGTAAGATTAGACATGATATGGAGATTGATTGATTGCAACAGCAGCCAATGAGATGATGGTGAAGGTAAAAAACCCAAACTTGCAGTAACTCACAGCCCAGCAGGAGGAGCCCAACAGCGTCTGTTTGTAGGTCAATGATTTTTACATTGTGTCATTTCTGAACTATTGCATCAAATTTGCATAAACGCTTAAGCAACTATGCTTAGTTCAACTAAACATAGTTTATACGGTGCAATTATAATTACAATAACGCGCCATAACATGTGTGCTATGCTGTTAAAAATAAATACAGCAATATTAATAGCAATGTATCATTTTTTTGTCATTTCTCAAAGTAAAAATAATGAATGTTGAACGAGACAATGAACAATGTGTGTAAATGATAAAGACATTATTGACATTCCTGGTGAATTGATGATTTTGTAGATATTTCTTTATTAGTTTCTGATTCTATATTCTATACCTTTTGTGTTACCCCAAGACTGAATCTTTAGTAAGTTTTGGTCTGCTACTTTTACTTGTGTAACAAAGGCGAACAACTTAGTGTTACATTTACTTACTATAGTAATAACAATGCAATATGCATAATTACAAACAACTTATCCTAAAGCAAACCCTATAGTAAGTACAATTTGTTACTGAGTCTTTAACTCGGTACTTATATAATTACACTGTAACAAAGAAAGGGTAACACTTTATTTTAAGGTGTTGTTGCATACTTACTATTATAATAACAATTAATTATGCTAGTAACCCTAAGCCAAACCCAAATCCTAACTATATAGTAAGTACATGTAGGTAATTAATATTACTCAGTATTTAAATGTATAATTACACTGTAACAAGGACACCTTAAAATAAAATGTAACTAAATAAAGTGTAACCTAACTGCCCTATAGCGAGTATGTAAATAAATCATAATGAATCATTAAGTTATAAAAAGGAATAAGGAGAAGTGTGCCAAACCGTGTCAAAGAAATGCTCCAGTGCCTCATGATGTGCAAAAAACACACAAGAAATGCAGATGTTGATGTTACAATATTATTCGAAATATTTATTTGTATTTATTTTATTATGCAATAGAAGAACAACAAATACAATTACAAAGACAAGTCAGAACAAAAGACAATAAGGGTTACAAACAATACTCCAAAGCATACTAGCTTATAAGACTTACACCATGAAAGAGTCTTACATGCAATAGAATTATTAGAGTTTCTTAAAGAGTTTACATACACATCAAAATCTTTCCTGAAAATAAAAAGTAGGGAGTTTTCTTTGAAAATGCACACTTATGGATGTCAAATTTAGCAAGATATGGCAATAGATTAATAATACATTTACAGCGAGAAGGGTCTAGATTCAAAGAGTAACCAAAAAACACTGGATATAAAAAGTTTGGATATAAATCTTTTTTAACAAAATTGGAAAAGTCAACCCAGAACACTTTAGAATAAGCACAGTCCCAAAACACACGAGTGATTGTTTCTTCAGACTGAGAGGAGCAACTGGGGGGAACACTATTGTTACAATCACGGATCATTTTGAGAGAGACTTCAACAACTTTATTAGATGAGAAAGAATGATGCGCTGCATTGTGACGTCAGAGTGCATCAAATAAGGAAGTTGGAGATCCGGTAGTTCCCCTGAACTTTAGGAGCACTATTAGACAGCTCGGGCTTCGCCATCGCATGGTTATAAAAGTCTAGTCTTTTCATGCTTTTCCCGTCTTTAATGTTGAGCTGGTAGTCGCTTTTTTTCTGACCGGAATTAGTAGAAAACTCACAAAAGGTGAAAAGCAGACAGCAGGATGGATGTTGCTCACCTGACGGAGGACGAAATGGCCGATATAAAGAAGGAAGTAAGTGTCTTGTGTGTGAAGCTGGGTTAAACAGATCGAGACGCCGGGAGTGTGTGAGCATGTTCGCCAGAGACTTCGCTGTATCGAGGTGGAAGTGAAAACAGAGGCAGTTCACTAGTGAGCCATAAACCCATAGACGAGAGACTAGTGGGTATTGTTCCTGCTTCTCTTTAAAAAATAAATAAATACATAATATTGTCAGAAAGGGCTTTATGTCATCTGAACTACGTAGATATGACTATTAAGGTCTTTTAAATGATATGTTATGTAATATACTGTTAAATAAACAAAACTTACAGTCTGTTAAAATACTAGATTAGTTTATTAACCCCTTCAGACCCTGCATTCCTTGAAATGGACATTACATTATTATTATTATTTTTTTAAAGGGGTCATGATGCTATTTTAAAGATCATTATTTGGTGTAACAGAATATGTTGACATGCTTTAATGTTCAAAAAAACACATTATTTTTCAAATGCTGTGCATTATTGTAGGTCCTCTATGCCCCGCCTCTCTCAAACGCTTCTTACAAAGTCCCTCCTTTGACAAGCGCAGTCTGCTCTGATTGGCCAGCTGACCCGGTGCATTGTGATTGGCCGAACACCGCAAGCATGTAACGCCCTTACCATAATCGCGAGCGTCAGCTTTCAAAATAAATATCAAGACAGTTAATAATGTCGTTAGTTTTATCATCAGTTCAAGCCCGAAAGGGCAACAGAGTCGCGTGACAGACACAGTGATGATGCAGTACACAAGCCGCGGTTAAGACAGCTGACGTGCTATGATTTCTGACAGACTGTTCACGCTCCTGTGATGTGACCCTGTTCCCCTCACACTTACGTTTGTTTGTCTCAGAAAATATTACTTCATGAATATCATCCTTTAAATATTTCCCTTCGGTTTTTCTTTTTCACTGTAGGCCATAGACAGGTTACGGCCGTACCTGGTGGATAAGATCATCGCAGAGAGGCACTTTGATTACTTGCGCTCGAAGAAGATCCTGACCAGAGAGGACACAGAAGAGATCAGCTGCAGAACCACGAGAGGGAGACGCACTAGCAAGCTGCTGGATATCCTCGCAGAAAACCCACGGGGTTTAGACATGCTTATCGAGTCCATCAAATGGGGCCGAACGCTCAACTTTATCATCGCAAAGATCACGGATGAGGTGCAGCGCGTGAAAAACGAGCGACTGGAAGCTTTAAAAGGTAAAAAAGAATGGTAGCACTTTAGTTTAGGGACCAATTCTCGCTATTAACACGTTGTTTATTCGCATGCATATTACTAGCATTTTGGCTGTTTATTAGTACTTATAACACACATATTGATGTGTAATTCTGCATGACTATATTCTAGATCCCTAACCCCATACCTAAACTTAACAATTACCTTACTAACTATGAAATAGGCAGCAAATCAGGAGTTTTTAGAGGCAAAAGACTACTAGTTAGTTAATAGTGAGAATTGGTCTCCAAACTAAAGTGTGATATATTATTTGTGATATATACTGTATGTCATATATATGACCCTGGACCACAAAACCAGTCTTAAGTGTCAATTTTTAAAGCTTTCCATTGCTGTATGGTTTGTTAGGATAATAAAATATTTGGCCGAGATACAACTATTTGAAAATCTGGAATCTGAGGGTGCAAAAAAATCTAAATATTGAGAAAATCATCTTTAAAGTTGTTCAAATGAAGTTCTTAGCAATGCATATTACTAACCAAAAATTACATTTTGATATATTGACTGTAGGACATTTACAAAATATCTTCATGGAACATGATCTTTACTTAATATCCTAATGATTTTTGGCATAAAAGAAAAATCAATAATTTTGACCCATACAATGTATTTTTGACTATTGCTACACCCCAGCGACTTAAGACAGGGTCACATATTATTTAAAGGGGTCATATCATGAAATCTGATTTACTTGATTATTTATTTATTTCATTTCCTTTAAGACTTGAGAGTAAACATCCACTGACAAATGGCTAAGATTATTGTTCAAATGAAACCGACCACGTGTTGCAGAGACGTAAACCGTCTGTCTGAACCCAAAAATCTCAAAAAGTTTTGGACCCCATTTACACACCTGTATTTAACATTTGAGATCGGATCAACCAAATCATATTTTAATATCCAGATGTAAACAAGACCAAATATTCCTTCTGTATTAATACAGCATTCACACTGAGAGTGTGAGCTTTGCGGTATTTAGAAATGACTTTTATAAGCTTAAAAAGATGAGCTGATGCTGCTGAACCATGGCTTAAAAAAGACTATCTGCCCTAGATTTTCTGGCCATATAGTGAAGCAGAAGTGGTTAATCAATGGGGTTTTCTTTTCTAATATTTTCATGTATTGCAGCAGGGTCCTCAGCTAACTCAGGTCATTCAATCACAAAAGGAGCAACCAATGACTTCTCCAAAATGGACTCGGACTATGACAAGTACTCCACTATATGTTATCAGCCCGAAGGGGAAGGAAGTCGGTCGTCCTCTGTGGCTACGGGATCCTTTAACCTGCGTTACGGCTCGAGTCGAGTGAACGAGGCTCTGTCGGTCTGCGGAGGGACTGGCAGCATGAATGTGTCCTCCACCATCTCATCAAGCCTGCCTAAACCTGGAGACCCCGGAGCTCCGCCGCTACCCGAGGAGCCCGATATGGACGTCCAGGATCTAGATGCTGCTGTTTGTGGAAGCACAGGAAGTAGCGGGGATGCTAATTTCCAGCCGCTGCGCTCACGTTCTTCGCACATGTCGTAGCGCAAACTTTCAACACAATCGCCTGCATTCCATCAATGTGAGAGATTCAGAACATTTTCCAAAACAATAGTCTTTCAAATGTCTCTCACAAGCATTGTCACACTGTAAAAAAATGTAATTAAATTCAAATGAGTCAAAGCAACACACTTGCTGAACATGTTTCTGCTTACTTTAGCTGTATGCAATCTACTTAAATATGTACAAGTTGGTAACACTTTACTTGAAGCATTATGAAGGTACATGCATGATGCATTACAAAGCTATTTATGATGTACATTGTAATGCATTATAAATAATTGTGATCAAAGCTGAAATGCATTATAATATTTGAAGGTTTGTTTGTCGTGTTGTAATGCATTCGATTTTCTAAAGGTGCACTGGAAAAAATGATTCATTGAATTTACTACATTTTTTGAAGGTAAGTGGTTGCAATCAATTTATTTTAGATACATTTAAGTAAACACATTTGAACTAAATGTGTTTATTTAAATGTAGCTAAAATAAATGGACTGGAATTCAAAAAATTTTGTAAATTCAATGAATCATTTTTTTCAGTGTGTAACAACGAATAGATAAGTGTTATAGTGTATTATAACTGTGGTTACGATTATTCATGAGATCCTACAATGCATTGTAAGGTGCATTACATTGCATAATTAATACATTTATAATGCTTTAAGTAAAGTTTTACTTTTTTTGTTTTGCATACAGGCCTGGATCAGGACGGTAAATGTTGCTTATTTGATAGAAGAGTCAAATGTGTTATTGTGAGTAAAGGAAAAAAACCCTGTTGGTGTTTAATGCTGTTGTGTTTGACATTTAAAGAGTTTCTAAATTGTGTTTTTGTGGTTACCATTGTGCCGAAGAGCAGAGCTTGTGGTTAAGTTGTGGGTGGATCCATGATTTAAGTTTATAGTAGGTTGTTCCACTCAATGACATCAGTGCAGAGTTACTTCTCACATGTTCACTGCAAACACTTGCTATGCTGACTACAGACAATGTTTTAAGCGTGCAGTAAAAATCAAGAGTTCATATTACTCACTTTTATAAGTAAATACTTGTGTAACGTATTGACAAATGTTAGGTAGACTTCACCTTATTTACTGTGTTACAGCTGTTAAATGTAGACAGCCTTGGGTGGATTTTACATGGGATTAAATCTACTCAAACAAACTGAGTGCAAATTGTTACCTCAGTTTCATTCTAGATCAGTTTCACTTTCACTCTGTGAAGAAGGGCAGTCTGAATATTATGCTATACTTTATTTTGTTTTATGAAGAAATTAGAAAAATCATGAGGTTAAGTAATAATTTGAGTTTTATTTTTGTATTCCTTTATTCCTTTAAAAAGAGGAAATGGAGTATTGGTGTTAAGAGTATTAAATTACGTCATTATGATAATGATACGTGTGCATACATTGTGTTTATATTTTGTTAAACAGTTACATATTCATATATAGGCCTAGTTACAGTTCGTCAGCTTATAGTATAAAAGGATAATTGGTCACACTTTATTAGGTGGCTTTAACTAACATGAAATACATACACAGCTATGGATTTACTGTGTAGCTGTATGTTCTGGAAAATTCCCATTTTTACTGCTAATGAGTTTGAAATATTGTTAGGTTTAGGAGTATGGCAGGGTTACGGTTAAGTGCAAGTAATTCACATGTGAAGTACTCCACCTATTAAGTGTAAAAGCTTCATTTGATAATTTGATTCCACACAATAACAACATGGGGATTTCAAATATGAAGAGAATTATGACTGACTGATCTGTGCAGGTATATTAATTGACTTTACTCCTCCTTCAAGGACATTATATAAATCTCATGTTTCATTCTGACAGTCACACAAACGTATATAAACTTAAATTTGTTCACTTATTTTACACAAATGCTAAAATGTGTTGAAACACCTTAAACGCTACCTACAATAAGCAAAGAAAGAACCAGATTCCAGTTTTTTTTTATGGACTGTCAACACAATTTTATGAAACTGTTAGTTTGGAAATTTGAAAATTGTTTTCGCCGGTAGCCACGCTCGTGACATCTCAGCATCATGTTTGAAAAACAACACGTTTCCAGTGTTGGGGAAAGTTACTTTTAAAAGTAATGCATTACAATATTGCATTACGCCATAAAAAAGTTACTAATTATGTTAGTTACTTTTTATGGAAAGTAATGCGTTACGTTACTATTTTTACGACAGGGCTTGCTTAATTGTTTTTAAAATAAAAAAATTATATTTCTGCCAGATATAAAAGCCTTTCACACCAAAAGTGAAATGAATAAGCCTCAGGCTGAAGGGAAAGTACATTTACGTCCGTACAGTAGAATGCAGAAGAATACATTTCAACACTTCAGCAATAAACAAAGACACAAATGTGTGTCTAGAGTAATTTGTGCTTATTAGTACGGTTGAACTGGATCATCGAAGGTCAGAAGCAAAGACATTGCTTAATAGAATGGGATTAAATACATAAAGGATATTTGTGTTGTTTAACATTTAATTATTGCAGGTTTGCGTCATATTCTGAGTTACATTATTTTTGTTCATTTTGAGGAATATTGAATCTGTGTGCTTTGTTTTTTTTTGTGAGTGAGATGAATTAATGCATATTCATATTTATTTTAGAACTACAGTAGCATCTTCTGATTTCTCTCAACATGGGGACAGGAGAGCTGTCAACTTGCGTTATTTATTTGAAAAAGTAACTCAGATATTCTCTTGTAAATTAAAAAGTAATGCGTTACTTTACTAGTTACTTGAAAAAAGTAATCTGATTACGTAACTAGCGTTACTTGTAATGCATTACCCACAACACTGCACGTTTCATTGATGAGTTGAAGAGCAAGACGAGTTTAAAATTGCAGGGCTTTTCACCCTGCACTTAACCTGGGGATATGGGCGCTCTAAACCCCGCTTTTAACCCCGGGTAAAGGCACGTTTCACACTTGTAGGCCTAATTCTGAAGTGGGTTAGCACTGCATTTTACCTGGGGTAATGAAACAATCATTCAAATGTAATAATTCAAGTGTGAAAAGCCCTATTCTCAGCTTTGTTGACTCCACTCACTATTACAAAATGTCTACAAATAACACAATTATGTATCTCTTATTTAAAGATGGGACATCATGTAGTTATTGCAGCATTTTAATACTTTACATCCACACCCACAAAGAGTGACAGACAAATGAAGTGAATGCTGCACAACCTGCTGAGAAATGTTTGCATGTTATCTGATGTACTGTACAGCGCGGGGCGATTTTAAAAAATGTGAATTATCTGATAGAACTTTCAGCATCACTGATAGATAATTCAATTTGAGGATGAGCTCTGGTTCTACCAGTTTTGAAGAACTGCTTGGCAACAGCTTCAGTTCCTCAAAACATAGAAAAGCCCTTTCTGTGTTAAGTGCTGAGTCAGTCCCCTGTCCTGATTTCAGAGTGAGTTGGCACAAATGTCTGACGGAAAGCCTTTTTCGTGTAGTGCTCCAAATAATCACTTGGCATGCCACAGATCACACATGGACCCTCAGTTTGTGGAAAACTGAAATATTTCTTATATATATTGCCTTTTTAATTTCACTATAGACAAAAGCTAAATTAGTAACATGGCAGTAGAATTTTTACTTAAGATAAACTTAACTTATGTACTTACCTAATCATAAATCATAAAACCTAATCATAAATAAACCAACCAACCTACAGTAATTTCTGCAGTCTGTAAAACTAGCCAGTATGTGTTCTGCTGCACATCAACACTCTGGTGTAATACTACAGTATTTAAACAAAATTGTTTCTTTTAATTTTTCTAGGAAGAGTTTTATTTGCTTTTAGACAAACGAAACAAAACAGGTTTAAACCGAAAACCATGATCTTCCATTATTATCTGATTCGACCGATATAAAAATGCACTTTAAATAAATGACATTGTTTCAGTTTTTTCAGTGCATATTTATATATGTACAGTGAGTACTGGAATATGAAAATAAGCAGAAAAATTTAGGATTTTCTGAGCTTGAATCCACACCTCGTCTCCTACGACTGCAAACGTGACGTTGGAATATTCTGAAATCATGGATAACATGGATCTCCAAGTTAAGATTTGCTCAAAATGGATGCAAATTTTTCCATGATCTCTTAAATCGTTATGTTGATAGCCTGATAATATCATATGTGATTTGAAAAAAAAAAAAAAGTGCAAAATAGAAGCAGTTTTTAAATTGTAGATGATACACTAGTAAACACTTTCCATGCCTTGAGAATTTATACACACACACACACATACCCATCATACTATGTCACATCTATTTTATTCCATAGGGACATGTTTAATAACAATCACAACACTATGTGTGGTAGTAAATATTACGTTTCATATGGGTGGCATGACTTAATCTCTTTTACGGTTTGCATCTGATTCATTCTCTGATTGTTATTTTAGTATCTAAAGCTACAAAACTCTTTCCATCTGTCAAGTCTTATATCGACATGCTTGTGTTTTACCAGCCAATGAGACCTTTGATACATAGTTATTTCAACAAAAAAACATCAAATTTGAAATGTAATGCAGGGAATTCTGGGAATGTCAATTTACGGTTATTCACTGTAAATTTTCACTTCCAAAAACGGTATACTACCATAAAAATGACATGTAATGTCCAATAGAGTTTTTCACCGTATATACAGTAGGGGAATTTACCGTTAACCGTTTAAAAGGTTTTTACTGTAGCATTTTTACAGTCTTTTACCGTTAAATTCACGGTCATTGTTTACAGTGTAGAGACAGGTACAACATCATAATACCGCTGCACAATCTAATGTGATTATTGGTAAGGATGACAGAAGTGAAACAGATATTGTGCACACTTTTCTAAATAGTAAACATCTGTCACATTAAGATGAAAAACCAAAGACTTTTGTGATAGAAGTTCTGGGG